AAAAAAAAAAAAAAATTAGCCGGGCGTGGTAGCGTGCTCCTGTAGTTCCAGCTACTTGGAAGCCTGAGGCGGAATGATCGCCGGAGCCCAGCAGGTCGAGGCTGCGGTGGCCAGGAGCGGCCACTGCACTCCAGTCTGGCCGACTGAATGAGACTCCAATTCCAAAAAAAAGAATACAGCATCCCAGGTGTGAGATGAAAAGGGCTGGACCAGGCTGGGCACGGTGGCTCAAGCCTGTAATCCTAGCACTTTGGGAGGTCAAGGCGAGAGAATTGCCTGAGCTCAGGTGTTTGAGACCAGCCTGGGCAACCTGGTGAGACCTCGTCTCTACAATAAATCAAAAAATAAGCCGGATGTGGTAGCACATGCCTGTAGTTCCAGCTGCTTGGAAGGCTGAAGCGGAAGTTACCGCCTGAGCCCAGCAGGTCGAGGCTGTGGTGGCCGGGAGTGTGCCGCTGCACTCCAGCCTAGGCAACAGAGTGAGACTCAGACTCCATAAAAAAAGGAAAAGAAACGAAAAGGCCTGGGCCAAGGTGGAAGCCCTGGATAGTGAGGTCCTTGCCAGAGCTCTGCAAAACTTGGGGACGAATTAGATCTGGGGTGTCAGGGAGAGGGGTGGAGCCTGAGTGCTGCAGGAGCAACCAGCTTATCTGGACTACCTTAATTTCCCAGGACAAAGCTGAGAACCAAGAAGAAGAGAGAGGAGCCTCTGAAGAGCCAAAATAGGTGCCAGAAAGTCCAGCCAACAAAAAAAGTCAAGCATGACTGGGCATGGTGGCTCACGCCTGTAATCCCAGCACTTTGGGAGGCAGAGCCAAGATGGTTGTCTGAGCCCAAGAGCTGGAGACCAGCCTGGGCAACTTGGGGAGACCTTGCTTCTATAGTAAATAAAAAAATTAGCCGGGCATGGTGGCACACACCTATAATCCCAGCACTTTGGGAGGCAGAGGCAAGAGAATTGCCTCAGCCCACAGGTTCGAGACCAGCCTTGGCAACTTGATGAGACCTCGTCTCTATAATAAATTAAGAAATTAGCCAGGTGTGGTTGTGCATGCCTGTGGTTCCAGCTACTTGGAAGGCTGAGGCTGAAGGATCACCTAAGCCCAGCAGGTTGGATACGGTGGGCGTGAGCATGTCCTGCACTCCAGCCTGGGCAACGGGGAGAGAACTCAAACTCAAAAAAAAAAAGTCATGCACTTACTATTACAAGAATCACTTGGTCTCCGCTTACCCTACTTACTCTGCCTTTATGTACCTTATAACAAGCCTGACTTTCTGACTCACTAGGACTCAAGACCAAAAGCAGAAAACTAGAAAGAGTTAGGAAATGTTTATTTGTGGAAATAATGGTTAGAATTTTAAAAGTCTCGACACTTTCAATAAAGTCCACCATAATTAAAGTGCCAGCCCTGGTGTTAGACAGACCTGGGCTCAGGTATCTTCTCTACTCATTAGTGATTCTGGGTCTGTTTCCTCATCTGTAAGGTGGGGACAATAATACCTACCCCACAGCACTCTTGTGTTCTCGGCCTTCTTGGTTCTTAGCTCTGTCCTGGGAACTTGAGGTTATTCATATAGCCAAGACAAATGCTTGATAACTATCTGGCATAGACACCAATGGAGAACACCTCTTTTTCTGGTCCTGCTGGTAAATGGCATTAGAAGAACCAGGGTATCTAGAAAGGAGATTGGTGGGGGAGACGGAAGGCACCTAAAATGAAGGGAAAACACCAGGCAGGTCAGGAATCTGGGGTATAAGCCTACCTGTGGCATGAACTTGCTGTGTGACTTTGGGTAAGTCACCTCCTGTCTGAGCCCCACTTTCCCGCCTGCAAAAGGAAGCAGCTGGGCTCCAGATGGTCCCAAGGTCAGTTCTGAGCTACAGAAATCTGCTGTGTCCCTGGTTCCCTGAGAACTTCCTGGCAGGGTGAGGACAGTGCTATGCTGGGCTCTGGCCTGGAGCACAGGGCTAGGGAGATGTGGAGTCCAGAGTACGTGGGTGAGACTGTCCTGCCTCTTTTCCCCAGACATTGCTGTGGGAGCCCCATTCGAGGGCTTAGGCAAGGTGTACATCTACCACAGCAGCTCCGGGGGGCTCCTCAGACAGCCCCAGCAGGTACGAATGGACGGGGACGGGTCTACTGCTCCCACCGGCCTTCCCTCCCTTCCCTCCCCCTCCCCCTCCCCATCCCCCTACTCCCCAGAGCCTCTCCCCACCACCTCCCCCTGCCCCCAGGTGATCCATGCTGAGAAGCTGGGACTGCCAGGCTTGGTTACTTTCGGCTACTCCCTGAGTGGGCAGATGGACGTGGATAAGAACCTCTACCCAGACCTGCTCGTGGGGAGCCTGTCAGACCACATCGTGCTGCTGCGGTGAGCCGGGGGGTTCCTCTCCTCCATCCCTGTCTGCAGGGAGCCCATCTCCATACCCCAGGTCCACAGATGGCAAAGTGCCAGCCCTGGTCTTGGACAGGCAGGAGGCTCTGATATCTGGCTCTGTTGTTTCCGCAGGGCCCGGCTCATCATCAACATCATCCACAGGACCTTGGTGGCCAGGCCAGCAGTGTTGGACCCCACGCTCTGCACAGCCACCTCCTGGTGAGACTCAGCCCCTGCCCTGCCCACCTGTTCCTCATTTCTGGGCAGGCCAGGAGGGCCACAGCTCCCAAACCCCTCCCCTGGCAGCTCCTGAGATCCCACTATTTATTTATTTGTGTATTATTTATTTGAATTGGAGTCTCACTCTGTCACCCAGGCTGGAGTGCAGTGGCACATTCATGGCCACCACAGCCTCGACCTGCTGGGCTCAGGTGATCCTTCTGCCTTCTAGTAGTTGGAAGGCACAGGTGTGCACCACCGCATCTGGCTAATTTTTTTATTTACTGTAGAGACAAGGGCTCACCAAGTTGCCCAGGCTGGTATCGAACCTCTCAGCTCAGGCAGTCCTCTTGCTTTCTCCCAAAGTTCTGGGATTATAGGAGTGAGCCACTGCACCTGGTGATCCTACCTTTAGAGAGTTGATTCTTGGGGTCAGCATTTACCTTCCCTACCCAACCTCATTGAAAAGCAAAATTCCTTGCAAGAGTTAATGAGTGAATTGAAGGACAGCACGGTATAGTGGTTCGAAGTGAGAGCTCTGGTTCAAATCCCAGCTATGATTTTGCAGAGGCAGGTTCCAGAGAGTGAGATCCCAGAGGAAGAGGAAGAGGGACATGCTTAAGTAGATGGATTTGGGGAAGGAGAGTCGCCCTGGGCAAATTATTAATCTCTTAGTCTTGGATTCCTTGCCTACAAAACAGAATTAGTAATAAGCAATTCATGGAATTGTTGTGTTAATTAAATGAGATCGTATACAAAAAACCCTTAGCACAGCACTCTTACATGCCCAAAGTGCTCAAAAAATGTTAGTTGCTAAGAAAGTGACAGTAATGATGGCAATCACCCCAAGATCTTTATGTGAAGAAGGATATTGGATCAAAAGGCAAGGGGAGACAGAGCTGGGAAGCAGGGGGCTGTGTGTGGAAGGGGATCTGGACTGGGATCAGAAGACCTGGGTTCAAGATTGGGCTGGGCCACCAACTGGCAGGTGGCTTCATATGAGTCCTTCTGCTCTCTTTTGCCTCAGTTTTCCCATTGGTGATTGTGACCTCTAACCCTGTTTTCTGTGGCTCTAATGGAATGAGAGAGAAGGGGCCAGGGACCACAGACCAGCTTTGTGTTGTGGATGCCCGGTTTTGCCGCTCCTTTCTCCAGAAGGGTCTTGGTTTCCATTTGCCCATTCCAGGGGCGAGAGCTAGGGCCTGGATATGTGTGTCCCCCTGTGACCGGGCCCTCCTCTACATCCCCCAGTGTGCAGGTGGAGCTGTGCTTTGCTTACAACCAGAGTGCCGGG